GTTGCCATTCAATGCGTCGCGGTGCCGTTCAAACAAGGGGCAACTTTCCGTTGCCATTCAATGCGTCGCGGTGTCATTCAAACAAGGGGCAACTTTCCGTTGCCATTCAATACGCTGCAGTGCTATCCAAACAAGGGGCAACTTTCCGTTGCCATTTAGAACGCTGCAGTGTCATTTCAAACAAGGGGCAACTTTCCGTTGCCATGCAGTGTCCTTCAGACAAGGGGCAATTTCCCATTGCTATGGATCCGAGGTTGTGCATCTCAAGAGTAAGTTCCGTGCTTGTTAAGCATCGGCCGTTTGCGAAAATAGCCTTTGAGAATTTTTACTGAGGTTGACTAATCTTCTTGAAAAGTACTTCATCTTTTAAAACTGGACCATTTCTCGGACCCAAAAAAAAGGAAAATTTTCAGTGCTCATAGCCTGACTTGCATGATTTTCAAATCAAAAATTGAACAAGCATGTTAATCTAACTTTCATGTTGGTCAAAATTGTTTTAAAACCAAAATAAAAAAATGGGCAAAATGATGAAATAGGGGCACAGTTGAGTCAGACGTTCTGTCTTCCTCCTGTTGTCACCATATTTGCCAGAAAAGGGAACAACAAAGGGCTGAAAGCTCTATCATCCTCCAAGCAGCGAGGTATCAAGCCAAGTGCGAAGCACGAACCAGAATGGGACAAGATATTCCACTTCCTTATCTGGACAGATCTGATCACGTCCAAACTCCCCAACAGAGCATCGTCAACCGATGTCAGTTGCAGATTTGCTACACACCCAATTGTAGCGCAGCCCCTCTGTGGAAGAAACTCACTGTTGTGAACAAGAAGAAGAATCTGGTAGAATACCAGGGCCAAGAGCCCACAACTTCCTGCTTATCCATCAACCACCCAGGGGAGGGATAAAAAAATGAGAGATTAAAGAATAGAGAGATGTGCGCTGAGTGAAAAAGTGAGGAAAAGGGTTTTGTGAGAAAATTCGAGCATGAGGGCCGAGTGATGTGAGAATCACAAATGAGAAAGGGTGGGAAACAATATCCGGAGAAACTGGCTCCTCGCGGTCTGAGAGGTCTGTCGTCTTTGTGATACGTCTGTGTGTCGTGTCTTTTGTTTTGTTTGTCTCGATTCCTGCTTTGAGTCGTCCCGAGCGTGTCTCATTGTGTTTAGGTTGTTTACCTTTCTGTCTTTCGCTGTTGAGTCTTTTTCGCTGTGTTCAGTCCTAGGCTAATAATCGGAATAAGAACACACAATGCTTTCAAAAATAGATATCATGGTTAGTAGAGGCCGATCTTTGATCGGGCGAGCGGGGGTGCTCACGAAATGACCTTCCCCAATCGTACCCAAGTTCCCGAGCCGAGGCAACTTTGGTGATGACGGACATGTGGCCTTTGGCACCGAGTCAGGGTTTCCTAAATTTCCCATTAAAAAAACATTTAGGTGGCGACTCTGTATCTGGCAAAGCAGTCCATGTTTGGCACTTCTTTCAAAAACTGTTTTCTCAAAACGATTTGCCGGATTTGGACTCTTTGGTTCAGACTTAGAACCGTGACAAATTTGGAGAGTCCTGAGCTGTAGTGACCCCAATATGAACGGAACGGGAGCTCGTTTCTCCCAGGGCGTTCGGGGACGTCTACACAAGGAAGTGAGATATTTTTCCTCAGTTTTATAGGCAACGAATGATAGGGGTGAGCATGGTCCGGATTAGACTGGATTGGGATAAAACCAGAACCAATCCGTTATCTACAGTTTTTGAAAAATTAAAACTAATCCAATCCGTTTAAATCGTGGAACCAATCTGAACCAATCCATTTAAACACAGATTGGATCGGTTTAGGACCACGGATTCACACAATTAAATAACAAAAAAATATATATAACACTTTAATTTCATAAAAATATAAACATAGCACTAGTTCCACAATAGCAACACGTCTTTCTATAATAACAACATACTATTAGAATTTAAGCAACCATAATAAAACTAATTCCACCATAAGTATTTAGACCATTACTAATTAAAACTAAAAAATAACAAACAAAAGTAATAAAAGAAGATACTATGTGGATTTAAGTTTGAGTTTAGTTTTGTATAGAATAAGAGAAGATACTATGCGGGAGGGTGTATAATAAAAATATAAACTATTTGTATACGGTCCGGATTGGTTCCAATCCGGAACCGTGGGGTTCAATCCGAAATCAATCCGTGGACTACGGATTTTTAATTCTTCAATCCAGAACCGAACCGCAGATTCAAAAAACTAATCCAAACCTACCGGATTGGAATGGATTTGATCGGATTACGAATTTCACGGATTCCTTGCTCAGCCCTAACGAATGATACAAAAATTGAAAGCTTACAAATATATGTGCAACATTGTTACAAGGTAATCTACTTATAGGTTTGTATGTATAACTAAAGTTACGTATTTTATTTTTGGTCGATTCCATCTTATTTTTTGTAGTTTAATGTTGTCATAGATCTATGGCAAAAATTGCATCAAAACAATTTGAAGAGATCATTGAACGTGACATTTGATATGGACTATGTCAATCTATGTCAATGTGTAAGTTTTTAATTTTTAGATTTTTTTTTATAAAAAATTAACACAATAATTATCTTTTGTGTCTTTATACATAATAAGCCAATTATAAAACCAAACTTATGTATAATTATGGCTCATTTTAAGAACGTATAATTTTAATTTAATCAATGTATACTATTAGCAATCTTATGATAAATATATCTTATATATATATATATATATTGCAAGATTTTCAGGATTTTCAGTCTCATGTTACCAAATTTAGATTTTATATAAATTTTTATTGTACAGTTTTTTTTAGTTAAGATTAGTAAATATTTCAATTTTTAAAAGACGTGTACATATTGTAATGTGCATATATTTTATTTATCAAATACGTTAATATTAAATGTTACGTTGTACATAATTATTCATATGGTTTATATGTACATTATTAGAAAAAATAATATCAAAATCATATTATAATTTTAAACGAGTTTGCACACGCATAGCATGTGCCCAGCCGCTAGTATATATATATATATATATATATGTTTTATGATTAGGTGTAGGGTTAGTTTACACATATATCGACTAATCTCGGGGATTCACGCAAAGCATTCTCTCCACATGAATCGGACAAATCTTAGACAGAGCATACATTCAGATCTCAAGCTATATCACTAGACCAAGCCCTTTGGAGTTTCAAACATTTATCTTTGATCGTTTCAGTACATAAATTTTTTTTAAAAATACAATGTTAAAATTGATTACATTATAAATTGATCAAAATTATAGAGATTATTAATGTAAGTTTTCGGACAACCAATTCAGGATAGCTGCAATCCGAAGCTAAGTCGCCTAGCTCATTGGTTTGATTTTTGAGAAACTATTTTTAAATGGGTTTTTATTTGTTTTTAGAGTTTTATTTTTTATTTTTTATTTTAGTCCTTTTTTTCAAATAAAAAACTTTTTAAATGCACCTAATATATATATATTTAAAAATTAAAAAAAATTATTAAAATATAAAAAGAAATTTTACTAAAAACAAATGAAAATCCGTCTAAAAATAGTTTTTAAAAATCCAAACTAAACAGAATTATGTCCGAGCTAACTAAGAACAACCCACGAAATTGGGCCGTATGAACTTGAATGGGCTTCCCAACTCAACCTCTCAGGTTTGGGCTAGCTGTACTTAATTTTTGACATTCGGGAGACTAAAATATAGATGAGATTATATTTTAGGACCTGTATATCTCATTTCATGTTTGGATTAACTTACAATTATGAAGAGAGATTAGCAAAATTACAAGTTATACTTTTTATTAATTTAGCTCGTTAGTCCAAACTTCTCGTATATATCTCAATTTGTATTCTAGTCCCCCTACTAAGATTTAATAATTTCTCATATGAAGGATACTGGGGGTGTTTGTTTGGGTTTTTTTGAACCAATTTGTAACTTCTATCTTTTGAAAAGTTATTTTGAATTATTTGGTTAAACTTATTTTAAACAATTCGAATTCTAACAATTTATTTTAACTCAAAAAAGTTCATTCTGAAAAGCTGCTCATTCATCGCTTCTGATTATCAAGTTCTGCTGTGGACATATTAATTTACGGTTATACTCTTAGATTTTTTTTTATTTTTTATTTTTTTAAAAATATAAAAAGACCCAAATGGACTATAGATTATTATTATTATTATTATTATTATTATTATTATTATTATTTATGATAAATGCAAACAAGTAGTGAATAACAAAAAATAAAAGTTAATTGAAAAAACTACATCACAGTTTATTTAACAAACACTACTCAGCAACTTAAATCTATAATCTAACAATTATACCAAACAGATTAACAGTTTCTAATTAAAGTCATAATCTATAATCTGTTAAGTTATAATCTATAATCTGTTTTAACAGTTATACCAAACGGGGTCACTATGCTTGAATTATTAGTCCGAACCTCAATTTTCTTAGCTAAATTTAAAATTATGTATTTTGCTATTAGTTCAAATCCTATTTCTGGTCTTTTTCGAGTAAATAGAGGGTTATGTCTTTAATGATATTTTAGCAAAAATTGAAAGAAGGATTTGATTGTCTTTTTACTCTAAGACACGAGAAAATAGTATATATATATATATGATTACTACTGGAGTTTCTAGAAATGTACTTCCTATTGTTACATCAAATAGCTTTGCATTTCTATGTCAAAATCTTCTTCATACCCCAAGTGCCCTTAATCCATTGACTAACTATGTGAACACAAATTCTGAGTTGGTATCTACGTTCAAAAAATGTTAACTTCCATGGATATAATTTTAAATTTCTTATACCAAATACCACTCAACTTACCCTCCCATGGGTAACCAAAAACTCATCACCCTTGCCATCTTTCTCAAGAGATACATTGACACTCAAACAATAATGTTGTGTTTGGTTGAGGGATTTAGAGAAGAATTTGGAAAGGGAAAACAACCAATTTATGTTTTCTTAAACAATTCTCCGACAAATATACGAGGTAAGCATTTTCCTCACAAGGGTTGGGTTCAATGCTTGAGTCCTCTCCAGCTCACTGAATTGTTCAATGTCTCGCATCACCGGTGATGCCCACCATGATAGACAAGGTTTTATCACTTCATGTTGAAACCTCAAATCAGTACAATGTGAAACTGAAAACATGGGTCGCCACAAAATTGTCATTCATTTAAGGGTTTTTATTAGAGTTGTTGAACCCCAACAAAGCAGGAGCCAAATTCACCTGAAAGAAATAAGAATAAATATAGCATGGCAAAAATAAAATTTCTTGACAATGCCAGGGTCCAAAAAACCCACCAAATAATAAAAATTTCTTCAGTATCAATGATTAACTTAACTAACAGATTCCTTGAGTGCCATTTTGCTCAAGCTTCCTCAAGTTCCCGCTTCAACAGAAGCCTAGTGGAGTGAACAAATTCCGTGTCATGAGTTGCAGCATCAACATCCAAATCAACAGGTTTCATCGAGAATTGGTTTTCGATAGCCATTACTGTCTTATCAATAAAAACTGATCTTGGCATGTAGTCCTTCATTCGACATACAAATTCCATGTGGCTTCTTGCCTACTAGATTAAAATTCAAAAGTTAATTTTGTGATTGATGTCAACTTTATAAGTTGATGACCTTCGGAGAGTAAAATATTGCTTTTCAAAAATAATAGATATACATCTTGGCATGATCTCCTTAAGAGACCTTGAAATGTAATAAATAAATAAAAACAACTTGCAGTTAGTACACATATCTTGAGATGTAATACTAATGAGAATATTAAAGAAAAGAGAAATAAATGCATACCAATCGGTACTCTGGAGCCCTCGTAGGCAGCTTCAAGTAGGACATATTACCGGCTTCAAAGTCCCATAAAAATGATGTGTGGTGTATCCACCGTTTTCTGGTTATTGATTGAGCATTCCCACCAAATTTGCGACTACCAAAGACATAATCTAGATGCAAATGGAAGGAAAAAATAAAAAATAAAAAAATCCTATTACTGATAAATTGTCAACTTTAGTTATTTATTCTCTAGACAATTGTTCATGTACCAGGTCAGTGTAAAACAAACTGAAAAGTTATTTAGAAGTACAGGACACAGAAATAATGACTGCAAACTAATTCAAAATATAGCAAACCAGATCAAAGAACAGCCCTCTACTATATGAAGTAAATCTGAAAAAAATTAGCCACCTCTAATGGCTATGTTATAGAAGAGTGATCTAACTATAGAGATATGTGATTCCTAAATTTACTTCCATCATTCTTGTTCTTATTGAGTTTTCTGCAATCAATATTTTACTATTCACTTCGACAAACACTACTTTTTATTCTCAAAATTTATAGCCCTCAGAAACCCTACATTTTATTTTCAAAATTTAGTCCAATAAATTCCTAATCAACCCAAAACATTTTTCCACCAACCCCTAATTTGAATAGCCCCGTTTGGTTGCCCTAAACCCTCTGGTTCTACCATCACATCCTCATCACTAGTCAATCACTTTCTGTGCACGGTACTTTGTTTGGCTATTTTAGTCCACCAATAAAATTTAAGTGCTGTCCAATATTTTTGTGAATGCATAGTTGTAAAACTTAGTGCTGTACTTGACACATTAATAATGGAACAACCCACAACCAAAGTGTACAGGCTAGACACGTGTACTTGTTTATGTCCTTTGCAGAACACTGTCTCTATATGCATGTTTGTGACAACAAAAAGGCATCTATCCTAGCCAATCGCTATGATCCTGGTCAGAATAAGAAGTACCTTGCATTGACACAGTAAAACATAAATACACTAGCCAATAGCAATAACCTAAACAATTATTATACATGTCAATGCACACAAAAGATAAATAAAACTCTACATTACCAAACAATGAAATATTAAGTTCAACTTGTTATTGTGGAAAACATATTATAGGCATTTTACTACACTTTTTAGAAGCAACAAAGTGAATGCACTTGTACACATCCAAAGACATGACAATTTATTGGATATGCAAACAGGTGTTTCGACACAATAATCATAAATAGGTGGAAAGCTCCTATAGTCATGTAAATCTTCTGCCTAAAACTAACTTAAAAGAAAATGCATTCTTAATGAAAGGAAAAGTCCTCGTACCATTCTCACGGAGTTGGAAATCACCAATTTCTTTGAACACTTCATTGTACAGCAGCCTGCTCCAATACATGATGGAGCGGGGATATGGCTGCACACCAGGAACATCATCCTTGTTGCATATAAGAGTGACAAATATTGTTCCAGGATCAACAATAACAGTGCCTCCCCCTGTAAACCTTTTGATTACAGGAACCTGTTCTTGTAACACAGACCCAACTTCAAGGAGTTCAGAAGGTTTCCTACATAAAGTAACCAAAAATCACATTACTTCCTCCATATGCATATTTCAAAAGTCAAATTATGCAACCAAAGTTGGAAGGTAATCAAAAACAGTTAAAGTAGTGTGGGATATATATAACTCATGCTTCAAACACTGATTTCAAACCCTGCCAAAACAGAAATGTTAAGCAATCAGAAAATCATCAATGCGTAGTGTGGACTAATAATAAAAAATTCCCATCATCCAGACACTTTTTCCAGTGATATAAGGACTGCTTCAATTCAAAATGATAAAATCAAGTCACTTGATTCTCCAGTAAAATATTTAACGGAACTATAAATCACTCCAGTTTGCAGATCAACTAGTCACTTCTTAAAACTCCATCCCTGGCATCAATATATAGTCAAACAGATAGTTTGAATTACACTGTTTGCAACTTTGTGATGAACTCATTAAGTGATATTAAGTAGCACAAGACGCCAAATTTCTCTTTGGTCAAAGCAGCTGAGCTTGGACAAGCTACAGCATGTCGCTCTAAAATGAAAGAACACTAAAATAATAAACTTGAGAAAATGATCAAAACCTATAACACATTATTGAAACCATGACAAAATAACTCATTTACCCGGACAGCCCCATGACAACGGTTGGAGCATTTGTTCCATCATTTATGATGCACCAATTATCAGAAGAGGTCCGAAGCAGCTGCTCCTCCAAGTATAGTTGTTTTAAAATGGGTACTCCCTTAAATCTACCAAGATTCATCGAGGGAAGCCCCATTTTTCTAGCTTGAAGTACACTCATTGATCATTAGATTTGATAAGTCCTCCCCGGCCCCTCAGCACCTAAAATTTGATCCAGATCTGCCATCTCATTATCATAAAATGTTATGGACTCCTCATGTTTGATGAGAACGTCAAATCAATGTCTTCTTCCTTGGTTTAATTATGGAGTTTAAGATTCGTTATAAACTATAGTAATCTTCTACAGGAGAAAACAAATAAATTAAATATGGAGGGCCAATACAAAAGAAGAAAACTTTACGTTTCAATATCGTAGTAAAAGGAAAAGGAAAAGGAAAAGTAGATTGGATGAAAGTAGATTTGAAAATGCCAAAACAGAGAAAAGATAATTATTTTCCCTTATTATTTACTTCATGACTGGGAAGTAATTCAACTTCAATCTATAGGGGGGAAAAAGTTATATTTTTGCCATGGGCTTTAGATGCTTTAATTATTACAACTAAGTGCCAAATTGAAACAATAATTCAACCTCACTACAGGTGGTGATCAAAGAAAATGATGCCTGTTATCTGTGGAGTTAATTTGAGACTCCCCTCTTCGTATTACAACACTTTTATAGTAAACAAATCAAATATTTTCTCTTTCAATATTCCCAGAGATAAAAATCACAAGGAAATTATAAACTATCAAGGCTAATTCTTATACAAACGAATTGTCTTATCAAATCCTAAAAAAACAGAGAATCTGAGATATATATGCTAAAAAATGTATGATGAAATAGATTACAGGCAACGCATACATATATCCATTCACACGCGCATATATATATATGAGAGAGAGAGAGAGAGAGAGAGAGAGAGAGAGAGACCTGGTGAGAGATAGCGTAACAGTGGAAAGAGAAGTGAGATCGGGAGCGGAAGGAGGAGACTGACACCGGCGGTGGCGATCTATCTTCTAGAGTAGATTTTAGAGCTTCATCGATGCAAACTTTCATTTGCAGAGTTCCAAACTAGGTTGGAGGAAGATAAAGAGGCAACTTTGTTTATAAATCACTTAGAAACCTCTCGCCAACGAAGCCGACTCCGTTTCCCAGGGCCACAAAAATGTCACTACTTTGATTGACTTCTTCCAAGCAGACGGTAGGTGTAATATAAGGGTACGAGGTGAGGGACCTTAGACTACAACAGAACAGATTGTGGACCTAATCCATTACTAAAAGTTGGATAGGGACCTTAGACCGATTTTCCCAAATATTTATCAATTGTACATAATTTTATTTTTAGTGGATAAAATAATTTTTAAAAATTCAAAAATATTTTTTTAACATTTATTTTTGTCAATTTAATTTATATTTTATCAAATTAACGATTTTTCCATTGAAATTAAGAAACGGTATTTTCATCGTGATCCAATGTGTCACAATTAAAAAGTTAAAAACCAAAATGACATAAGTCCCAAACTATAAGGACCGTTAGTGTAATTCTTCCAATTTTTTTGATTAATTATGTAAATGATCCCCAAAGTATATCTTATGTTATACTTTAATCACTAATTTTTTAATTGTTCTACTTTTGTCCTTAAAATTTTGCAATTTGTTTCACTATTCACAATAATATATCAATAATATTTTGTAATTATAATTCGCAATAATAAGAACACAAAACACCCACATAATTCTGTAAAATCTCTCTACAAAAATTGCATTTGTATAACATTATCCTAGCCATATTTAGCTTTTCCATTTTCATTATTGTGACTTTTCCACACCAAGTTAATATTTTCACCTATAATTTCCACTAATTAATTTCTTTTATTTTTGTTAAGTTAATTTCCAACAATTATTACTAAATCTAAGAATCTTATTGAACAACTATACTACGTACTAAAAAAATGTTATCTAAATAAGTATCAAAATTTTTAAATTGGTAGATCAAATTCATCTTGTATCTAACCCCAACCACACAAACTTTAATATATTGGCTTGGAGCACCCAAGTATATAATTGATCTGATGGTTTAAAATTGTCAATAAATTTATATTTGTTGTCACTAGGCCAATGACTCTTATCAATAAATTTCTCTAATAAAAAATAAAAAAATAAATGAAAACTTCAGTATCATACTAATATTTTGACCCAAATATATATATATATATATATTTCATAAACTTCTGTAATTATCCTCAATGAGTTTTCATAATTTAAAATTCCTGCGTAATCATCTCATTGTTACTACTATTAAATACTTTATTTTTAAAATATATGATAAAACAATTATTAATCAACTGATCTCCCGCTCCGTAGTATAATTAATTCTAATCTCCCATGTATTGGGTTTAACACTTACGGCATGTTTGTTTGGGTAGACATGAGCTTGGGATTGGACTAATAGTCCAATAAAATTATTAATCCGATATTTGGTTAAACAATAGAAGGACGGATTAACAATCCATTCGGATATGATATCCCACATATGATGGACTATTCAATTCTACAGAGGGGGGCGGAATATAAATTGAAAGACTAAGCTAAAGTCTGGACTATTAGTCATTCCTTATAATCCTACCTCAATTTAAACTTAGGGTATGATATACAATCCAAAAGGATTCATAATCTTAGAACTATTTAAAATTCCTAAGTGATTCGTCATTAGATAACGATTTAATTCCACCAATTCCCAATTATTCAAAACACACAATCTAAATCAATAAGCACTTACGAAAGTGGTTTAGATTGTTATTTTCGAAAAATAATAAATCGACACAAACGATTTTTACGTGGAAAAACCACAGTTAAAGCACCTTCAACTGTGATAAAAAAAAAAATCACGGGCGAAACGCCACTAATCAATCCACTACTGAAGAAAGAAAGATTACAAGAACAACCAACAAATTACCAAACTCATCAAATTTGTCTTCAAGCTTCTATAAATCTTTCACCACAGCCTTCGTCTCAGAATTGATCAATATGAAGTTGAATCCACAACTTCCAATGTCGAGTCAACGACTACTCACAGTATCAAATTTCTTTGATGCTCCACGCTTGAATTTCCGGATTCCACTGAAGAGTACCACTCTTGAATATTAAGGAACAAACTCCTTGATGTATGTATCTTAGATCATAGGTTTCAAACCCTCTCAAATATATCAAGGAAAACTCACAAAAACTTCAGAGGAAAACCTCAAAAGAAACTGTAAGACTCTTTAAGAAGATCTAGGAAAAGTTAACCCTAAAAAGACTTAAACAGATATATATAGAAAAACAGAAGTCGCGCTTTCCACTCGAGCGCGGGACATCCCGCTCGAGCGGGCTCAGTAAAATACGCATGTGACCAAACAAGTGTCCGCTTGAGCGATGGAACATACGCTCGAGCGCGAAATCGCACTACTCAGTATGTTTACAGACACGACCAACTACTGTGATAGCACATATTACGCTCGAGCGCCAATGGTCCCGCTCGAGCGAGAAACTCAAAAAACAAGAAAAAAAATACAACTCTTCAAAACAGAGTTTGTACGAGGATTTGACAATAAAGGCACCTAACACTATTAGTCATGAGAATGTTAATCCAACCTAACCCAATCTGCCCAAACAAACATGGGCATAACTAGCCGGACTTCTTATTTGAAGTAGTTATATCCTAACCAAAAATTAACCATATTTTTATGTTTCTATTAACCCTTAGTTGATGACTGAAATAAAATTTTGAGGTCATTGGGATATTTTGGAATTAAATGAAATTTAATTTACTTTAAAAAAAATGGCTGGATAATATGAAAAATATTATGTATTGTCATGTGATAAAATAACTAGAAGGGTTCACTAACACTAATCATGTTCCACTAATCATGTTCCACTCTATTAGCTTATTGAGAGGAATCTTTCAACAATATAATTAATTCCTTAGGTTATGTTTGGTATGGGCTTTTTTTTGTGGCTATTTTAGCTACAAAAAGACAAAATAAACTAAAAAGTCAATAAGACAAAATATCACATCCAAATTATAATCATTTCATTTTTTTTTCTCTCGTAAAAGTCAAAAAGCCGATTCTAAATGAGATTTTTTAGTTTCAAACTAAAATAGTCAAAAAGTCAACCCACATCCAAAACGAAGGCTTAATCTTATGATTCTAACTACTTGAGTTGATTCCCTTTCCCATGGAACCTTGTCGAGATAAACCACTCGTTGAAGAGAATAATGATGAGTGAGCGCATTGGATTAGATTAATCATCTCTAACTAAAATATTAACATTGTTGTTGTTAATGAATGATTCTTTGATTATTCTAACAAAGAAAATAAATCATGACCATGATAATCTCTCTTCACTTTGTATAATACTGTTTCGTCTTTGTCTAGGACACTTTTGTTAGGACCATTTGAGAAAAGAATAATTGATCTTTATGTTGTCTAATTAAGCTTGCTCTATGTTCAGCAATAGAGCATCCCTTCTAGCAACACACCTAATTTTCTAATACAATTCAACAAGTTCTATAAATTTTAAATTATAAAGATAAGACTCATTGTTTACTTGCTAAGCTCATTTTATATCAAGAAAAAGTTCTTTGATGCATATATAAAGAAGAAACTAAATTGCTTTATACTCAATCACGGTTTAATAATCAAGGCACTTATAGGCGCGAGCGGATCCTCTAGAGTGAATTGTCTGGAGTGATCTCCTAAAGTAGTTGATCCAACGGCTCAGAATAAAACTCACCAAAACGACGTCGTTTTGGTGAGTTTTATTCTGAGCCGTTGGATCAACTACTTTAGGAGATCACTCCAGACAATTCACTCTAGAGGATCCGCTCGCGCCTATAAGTGCCTTGATTATTAAACCGTGATTGAGTATAAAGCAATTTAGTTTCTTCTTTATATATGCATCAAAGAACTTTTTCTTGATATAAAATGAGCTTAGCAAGTAAACAATGAGTCTTATCTTTATAATTTAAAATTTATAGAACTTGTTGAATTGTATTAGAAAATTAGGTGTGTTGCTAGAAGGGATGCTCTATTGCTGAACATAGAGCAAGCTTAATTAGACAACATAAAGATCAATTATTCTTTTCTCAAATGGTCCTAACAAAAGTGTCCTAGACAAAGACGAAACAGTATTATACAAAGTGAAGAGAGATTATCATGGTCATGATTTATTTTCTTTGTTAGAATAATAAAAAAAAAAAAAAGAAAAAAAAAAAAATTCAAACAACAATCTGGGTTTCTTTGGTTAGGCAAATTCAGTTATTTCATCTTGAATTAACTAATTTAAGTCTCCAAAGGTTGAACTGAGTAGTCAATCCTAGTCAGCAAACTGAAAAAAGTCCTCTCTCTTTTATCTAATTATAAGGTTGACTTCAGAGATATAGTTTCGACTTTCAACTTAACTGTACTATCATCTATAATAGTAAGTCTCCAAGACTTGAACTGAGTCGTCAATCCTAATCAGCAAACTGAAAAAAGTCCTCGCTTTTCTCTAATTATAAGGTAGACTTCATACTGTTTCAACTTTCAACTTAGCTATACAAATTCAGTTTTTTTTTTTTTTTTCTATGGATTCTCCTATGGTGTACACTTGTTTCAGGGTACATATTCCACAGTAAAATGTGTAACCTCGTCACATATTAACATAATAAAAAATATCATAATCAAATCATAAATTTTTACAATATCAATTACAAAATTATAAACATTTTATTATGTGAATTTGTGACAAGATTATACATTTTATAATTGATATTACAAAATTTTTTAGATATTATTATGTTTGTTTTATATTTGTGGTTTGAGTTCTCTACAAGAAAAAGCACTATTGGCGACTAAAAAATCACATTTCGTCGCTGAAAGTATAGCATT